TTTTTTCCAGAGATCTCCAAAGCAGCCCACTGCGAGCTCTACACGACATTACAGTACCCCCTAAGTGCCAGTGAAGGGAATGTTTCGCATTAGTCCGTGCTACCCTCTTTACAAGCTGATTGTCGTGGCGCAAATCGTATGTTCCATTGACAGATGCGACTTCTGTCAATGACGCGGGTTTACGCCCCGCGTGTGACGGTTGCAGCGTGACCAAGTTCCGACGTACGCGCCGAACGAAGCGCACCCCTTTAAGAAGGCATTGAGGACCGTCGAAGTCGATGTGTCCAGGTTGTCATCCGTGCACTTCTTCTTGACGAGGAGCTCTTAATTTCAATTCGCTGAACTTCGCACTTGATCTTTAAGCACTCGAATCTACGGCGAAATAAGTACTTCGCCAGTCAGAATTGGCACCCCAGCACTTTCCAGGATTTCCCTCTATGGGAGTTCAGACAGCTGCCTAGTAGCAATAGCTGCAGCCAGCATTCGATGAAAACCCTTGTCCAAGCGTGAGACGAGTAGTTGGATTTTGTCCTTCTCTTCGAGATCGTCGCACTCCTTGAATAAATTTTGGTATTTTCTTGATAATGTACCGAAAGTGCGGCCTCTGTATAGGTCATTTATGAAATTCTCGTTTCGACGGTCGATCGAGCCGATTATTGCGTGTTTGTTCCTGACGACAGGAGCGGAGTAGCCAGATGAAGTGGAGGTGCCGTTGCTTCTGCACTGCTTGAAGTGCATCAGACAGAACGTCCATTTCCCTGGGTCTTTGAAGTAGTGATAGACAGACTTGTGTCGTCGAAGAGCAGATTAAAGGAAATTTATTGTAGCGAGTTGTTTAACGAATAATTTTATAAGCAGGGGCTTCGTTTACGCCACATCAGTTCTCATACTCGATCCAACAAGACCTGTAGTTGACCTACAGGGTGCTTCACAGACGAAATCAAACGCAGTGCCGTAGCTAGCGACCCATTAAATCGAAACGTGCACCATGTGAATTGTTTCTGGTCATTGCTCAGGTACAATAGCTGCAGTCAACATTCGATAACAGTTCTCGTTCAAGCATAAGATGAATAATCGCGTTTCCTCCTTTCCTTCTAGGTTTTCGCATTCGTTATCGAATAGATCTTGGTATCTTTCGAAACATATGTTAAAAGACAACCTCACTCCAGACCTCAGAAACTTCTCGATTCCCGGGTGGAGTGAACCGGTCATTGCATGTTCCTCCTCGATGACACAGGAATACGGCTGGCAGGTGAAGTTGATAACTGCTCTATGAGTCGCAAGTAGGACGGCCTCTGGCAATCCATTTGCTTCTGCATGGCTTCGAATATACTAGAAGTGCATCCATCTCAATGAGTTCCAGTGATCCTAGTCATCGGTGTTGCGTCATTGAACTGAAGCAAAAAAAGGCTTATTCCAGAAGTCATGCTCAGAGCTATATTGTGAGAATGGTTGTCGCCATTCTCACATGCATACTAGCTCTGAGCCTGACGCATGCCGCCATTCCACTTCCGTTGAGCCACTGACGTCTACGTTAGCCTCTCTGAACGATTACGCTGGTCCCTCTCCCCCCCCCCATTTTCTTACGTCAAAACCTGAATGTTCCGCCAGCTCATCACTTACCTTTCCTTGAACAAATAATGTATTTCCGGAATTTTTCGATTTAGCGCCCGCAATTAGGCAGCGCAAAAAAATTTCACAAACTGCCCTAATGAAGACAGCTCGGCATAAACAATGCAATGCAACTGGTAGTCAACATGTCGTGATATTCTCGCTTATGGTTACGAAGTGTTGATCTGTTAGCCGCCTCAAATCATTTCATTCAGCAGAAATCCATTCCTATTTCGCTACATTTGTGGATGGAGGTGAAATAAGCGACATACCAGGGTGGCCGAGCATTCTCTCGTCCCATGCTAATTTGTAGAGATAATTAAATGATTGAAATACTTGAACCTTCCTCTGCGTGCTTTATGAAGAAACTCGGACTTGCTTTGCTGCACGTGTTCTCATATATGAACCATTGAAGTTTTAGCCGCTTGAGGAAGATTTGCCAGTGTCCGGCACCTTCTCCGCGAAAGCGACGCCACACTCGATTGCGCGCTATGAAGGGAAAGGTTGGAAATTCCAGTAGAAGGGTAGGATAACCGTCGAGTGCCGCTTGCCATGGGATTTCGGGGAGAAGTTACGTCACCCAGGTTTGCCAGCTTAGTACAGCAAAATAACGTCCATGCGCTATAGATCAGCGCTACAGAGTTCTGGTAGCCGGAGCTAGGCAGAGAACATCCCATTCACGTAAGGCATTACGTCTCTCTTTTTTTTNTTTTTTTTCATGAAGTCACTATTTGGAACCCATTTCACAACATTAGCATGCAATTTATTGCAAATAATCCATCTAATAAAGTATAACGAGTGCCCTATAACATACATTCACTCGGTTTATACAAAATGAAAACAAACAACAGAAATATACCGGTAATAAGAAACGCCGAACAAACCGATGGTAAAAAATGGCACTATGCAACAGGGAAAAAAGGCCAACTCATGTTGCACTATTGGGTTGCACATAGCGCTATGTTGGGTCAGTAAAACGAGTGAAAACAGTTGCGATTGATACGCCATTTCACACAGCCGCACTCATTCCGCAGTTGGCAGCGTTATTGACATCGCCGCTGCCGAGATCAGGCGCCGATGCCTCCTTTTCGCATTCAGCTTGACGTCTCATTCCCGGCTTCACCTCGTCATCTGGACCATTTTCCGAATCGGCTGCGTGTCCAGACTCATTTGACGCATCAAGATTCTGAAAACGAGAGAGAATAAAAGCAACAATCTCTGAAATGAGGCCGAAGGACACAGCAAATCCAAATCTTCCTAAATGGATTTTTAATACCAACACTCGATGGTGAAAGAAAGTGACCCGATGCATAGACTAGCGCACTTTTGCAGCAGTTACCATCATTTGTCACTCCATTTTCACACACTATCAATAAGCTTCAAGCAATCCTACTAACTGAAAACTGCTAGTTTTCCCGTTGTCTTGGATCAGCCTATTTGAGAACAGTCATAGGACAATGACTTGCCTAGAGGAAGAATTCAGTGCGCACAAGTTCAACAGCACTATTGATAAAAAATGTAGGATAAAAACCTATTATAGTTGGAAGGGGAGCGGCACCCCTACCAGTACGCTAAAGCGCAGAGGAAATGTAACCCTCTTTGCACTCCCGTAATCTGAATTTAAGCAGCAATAGTTCAATAGCACGTCACCACTGACACTGTTCAAAACAATTTGGGATAAAAGCTAAATGGAAGCCCAAACCATGACGTTCAACTAAGCAGAAAAAAGGGCTCACAAATGTAATCACCTTACAGGCATTTGGCAAACGAATGACGAGATGGGCCAAAATGTCGCGGTGATGTGCGATAACCTGATTTATTGAGAGAAATGCTTCTCTACTGGAGCTCTCGCGAATAATATCAAGGTGAATCTGGGTCAAAAAGGGTTAGGGAAAGAGAAATGTTGCTTAAGGAGCAGCAGATATGTTTGTACAGAACTCTCGGTCGCTTAATTAACGATACTGCTACACAACTGCACTAGAATACCAAACCTTACCTCATTTTCAGGTCTTCCTTCACGTTTGGGTTCATTCTTGCTCTGTCGTCTGAAACGACGGTTGTAGTAATTACCACGACGTCTCGGTCCACTAGGCTTCCCCGTTGTAGTGCCGGTGACTTCACCATTTGCTGCCACCTGCCCATCAGAGACGGGTACGGGACCACTGGCATCTTCCGTTGGCTGTTGGCGGCTACGTCGTCCGCGGAAACGGCGACCCTGTCCTACTTAGCATATCAGTCCTCCATAGTCCATGTGTACGAAGATATCAAAGCAAAGTGAACTTACTTCTGCCTCTAACAGGTTTCTTTCCTTCGCCATCAGCTGGGCTGCCCTGGTTGGTGTTGACGGGAGATTTCTTTTCAGTGTCATTTTCACGTGGCCCTTGGCGGCGATTGGGACGAAAACGGTACAACAGTACTCTTTGATACCTCAAATAATTAAGGCAGGATATGACCTTCACTCCCATTCAGAAATAATAACCCTAAGCAAAGCGACACTTTGTAGCAATATCTTCATGAGAATTTCAAAGGATAAGCAATGCCCGCACTTACTTGGAACCTTTCACATTTCCACCGTTTGGCCCTGTCACGTTCGATGCTTCGGGACCTTTGCGCCCTTCGACGATATCAAACTCAACTTCTTCCTCATCAGCCAATGTACGCAGGTAGAACTTTTCGGTTTGCGACTTTGAAATAGCACTCTGCAAAACAATTTAAACAATGGAAGAGAGTTACTTGTATGATATTAGGGAGGAGTAGGCAATGATCTGTGGGCGGAACTCAACAGTAAGGTGATACCACCTCCTAGTTGAGAGAACAGAATCGAGAAAAGAGGAGTCCCGCCTGCCCTTCATCTCCCTAATTCTTACAGCAACGAGAACGACTTTCAGAAAACGCTCACCTGATGCACGAAGATGTCCGGCTTGCCGTCGGCACGAGAAATGAAACCGTAGTGACCAAGGACGGAATACCACTTTACGTGACCTTTGAGACCAGTCTCTACCACCTTGAAGCAACTGACAAACAGTACTGAAGAAACATACAAAAAATATAAAGAACCACTTCGACTCCACTCTCACACTGCAAACAGACTACAACTCACTCAAGACTCCGACACGAAATCCACGACTACGCCGAACAACATGAATCTCACTCTTATACATGGGTTTAGGCACCACCAGGGAAGCAGCGACTAAAGTAGATTGCGGCGAAGCGTGCTCTTATGGGGGCAAATACGACCGTCCTGTCAAGTAATGCATCTGGACGTAAGTCGGCAGGAGTTTATTATTTTTCTATAGGAGAAGTTACAGAAGCCCAAGAAGAGAATTAAAAATGGAAAAAGAAAGAACACACTTGAAAAACATTCTAACAAAAGCCGGTTTTTGGCTAAATGGTTCAGTTGTTTCTCAGAAAGTACAACTGAACCGTACCTATCTGACGATGGCATCTCCGATCACAGTTGCCCCATAGCAGAGCCGTTACCGATTGGGCGCTTTCAGTGTCTAACGATGAGTGCGACAGAGCGGAAGGCATCAGGGAGTATCTTCCTGCCCTATGCGTGCGGCCGCGCAGCTGCTTTATTTATGTGCCTTTGGCTGCTTTCATAGTCCGCCGGCCGGGGCCGACGCTTGGCAGTGGCTTACAAATGAATATTGATCGATACCCCGGCCTTCGCGCTCGCGCGCTCGATTGCTCGTGGGCCGCCGGCAGACTATGGAAGCAGCCTTTCACCTCTTTAGCACTGAGGCGCAGCACAGTTTGCGCTCCATTTCCAAATATGCAGCACATGATCCCCCAAATATCCCACCACCAGTCCAGGGCATTTGTCCGAAACCCTTTTCAATGCGTCGTATAAGTGGCGAGTGGAGAAATTTGTGCATTAAATGGAGGTTGTGGGGGGACGAAACATTCACCCAATTCTGGATGGACGCGGCAAAGTGTGCAACGAACTTCTCGGTATTCAAACGACTCTGGCGCTTACCATCGGGGCACAAACATGAGGTAGGGTAGACGAGGGGCATTGGCTGGCCCTATTCATCCAATCTAGTCAAGACCTGTGCCCCAATGATAGGCGCCAGAGTCGATTAAATCAACACTGATTTCACCGCGCGCTTTGCTGCGTCTATCCAGAATTGGGTGAAGATACCCACACCCTAAGGTTATGCCGTGATATGAAATGTTTGTTTACAGAAATTCTGCACGTTCGGAGGGTGCTCTTTCATATGAAGACGCAGCGTTGCCAAAATCACGTCGACAGCCCTGGATATCGTCTGCTGACAACTTTGGTCGCTCGGCGTAGGCCTGTTAAACGATGTCTGACAAATTTGTCCACCGAAAAAAAAAAACATGCTCCAGGCTGTCAGAGGCGGCACGGACATACTCCCGCCGAGCGATCAACGTTATCGACAGACGATCGTCAAGCGCTGCCATAGTGTGTCTGGCACCGCTGCGATCTTATGGCACGTACTTGAATTCAGAAAGTGCCCATCTTGAAAGATGTCCCTGATGGGAAGGATCCCAAGGAAACATTTGGAATGAGACATATTGTTAAACGTATTTGGCTGCTTTCAGATTCAACGACGTGCATTGATTCACCACCGATCGACCTCCCGATGGTGTTGCTGGCCACGTGTTGACAACACTAGACACCGATGGATACCGGTCATGCGGCCGTGAACGCAACCGGTCCTGCGTTGTCAACACGTGGCCAGCAACGCCGTCGGTCGGTCTGTTGAACAATGCACGTCGTTGAACTCTGAAGGACCCTTTCTGGTGCTACTCTCGTTTCGGCCTTCCTGATTTGCGAGATGATCCTCTGAACGGAGCTTGCGAAAGGGTGAAAATGTAGTTGGGTGAGGGGGGCCAGCGCTCTTTTTTGCTCTGCGTCTCTGACACCAAGCGACACATGATATAGAGACCGCGCTGGGACGCCCCTTCCAAAAGTTAGGGGAGGAGCTCCTGGGTGGATTAGATGGGGTAAGAATTGAAGAGACGCGGCGCACAAAAGGGGCTGGCTTCCCCAAACTACATTTTCACTCGGTTGGCCACCTTGATTCAAGAATTTTTCGTTGCCAGTTGCCAATTCCACGATTCTCCTTTGCCGCGGAAGCATTATCCACAGCATAACAGCTCACAACGTTGACTTCTTTGCCAATTTAGGGCAAAGCTCTATATTGCTCTATATCATCATCGACTGGTTTGATGCCCTCACGGGACACCCATCGTTCTTTCTCCTACATCTGCTGTTGTTATGGTCTAATGTTCAAAACAAGCTTCCAACTACAAACAAAGCCTTCGCTTCCTTATCAACCTCCCATATTCTTCATTGAGCTTTTTCGACACTACTCAGGTTTTACACTCGTTCGGCTGAGTACATGCCTAATAACAGTAAGCCTTTTCTCTTTATTTCTGAAATAGTTTCTTCCTACCTTCTTTGTCATCTGCTCCTCCTCCCAAATACGGCGACGTTCCTCGTCCGTCATTCGAGCAAACTGGAATATTTCATTCTGAGTACACACAGGGAAGGACGAACACGTGAGACTCACTCTACGCTCGCGACGTTCGCTCTTGCCGTCTGTGGCGGTGGTTACTTTCTTAACCTCCATATTGTTCCCATCGACGATCTTCATCGCTTCGACCTTCTTCTCGAGGGCCTCTACGGCCACCTCGACAGGCGCTGTCGACATCGTGGAGAGCTCGTACGCACCCAGGAGATTTCTGAAACTCAACCCATCATACACGGTGGGCAAGACCTCACGCCAGTTCCACCACAGTGTAAACCCCAGCTGATGAGGTATTAGAAGCTGAAAATAGATGTCCAGGGCATGGATTCCTAAAGTTCTCAGAACAAAACAAAACAAATCTGCTAAACAGAACCAAGCACACGATAGAAAATCGACAGTAAAATGAAACCACTCCCCCATCACTCCCACGTGGATACTTTCAAACCGATATCGAACAAGTAAACCAAAGATAACAATCACACCATCAGGGATAGACCCGTACTGCCACACCAACGTTTTAGTTAGAAATGGGCTCCCGGCATTACAAGACCGCCCTAAATACGGCAATTACAGTAGGATGTCCATTCCTCTATGAATATCTTGGCAAGGTGACAACGACTGCGATCTACCAGATCAAATTACTGAACGTGCTTCCCAAGGGGCTTTCGTGGCTGCTCAAATCATGTGCATTCAGGGGAGAGAGCCCATTGCACTTAATAAATGCCTTCTCATATATGATACAAGTTAAAAGAGCACATGTTGAACATGAATAACGGTTTGAGGATGATTCGCCCAGAATCTTGGGTAGGAAATTGACAACCTGTGCACGGGTTTTAAGGTCCACTCCTATATGCAAGCAATTTTTAGTACAGAGACGTAGCAGAGCCCGAATTAATTGAATATAGCAGTGACAACAATGAACCGCACTCCCTATACGGGTATTGTAAAGGCAAGGGTTACGTTCAGACTTTGCGTTGGCATATTTCCGGTTCCCGAATTCGTCGGCTACCCACTGCATTGTCCCAGTAAACTTTCGGATCGTTCCCTTCGGTGTCGGCAAGTTGCCAACCCTCTGTCTGGGCGCATTCATACTAGGTGTCGTGGACGGCACCTAGTCTGAATGCGCTCTTTTGATGATGAATGTAGCCTGTTGCAACCAACCAACCTGTGTGTCCTCCTGTTTGGGCCTTACTACTAACAGTGACACCCACAATTCTGCCGTGAAATAAGGAGAGCACAGATATCCAGTTTGAAATTCGAGCGGAGGAATTTTTTCTCTCTTGTCTGCGCTATCTCGTCGAGACAGCAGCCTATGACCGATATAACATGGCACATTTGGTTCCTAGCTATGAAAACATCGCTTGTGGAGAAGTTTTGCCCCATCTCCCATCCTTCCCTTCTCCCTCCTAGAGACATCCATCCGTCTCGCACACATTGCTGCTTCACCTGGAACCACCACCCTACTTCCCCCTCGCGACCTGGAACTTCGCGCGCTAACCGCGCCTATTCTACTCCCGCTCCTTCATGAATGTGGCACTCCGTGATTACCAAGGCTTCATAAATACATCACAAGTGGTGCATACTCATCCTAGGGGGTCCTGAAGCTCTGAACGATGCATGGACTTCTCCGAGATCTGCTTTTTTTTTCTCAAATCGCGAATTTTGTTTGCAATCCTACGCGCAGTTCTATGGTACTGGGTGCTTACAGAGTTCAACGACGTGGCGACCGACCAAACACAGCACACGATCGAGTGCGTCGCGCTCGCCGCCTGTGAAGGGAAAGATGATTTGTATTCCTACTATAAGGATGTGGCACTTGCCGCGGAACCACTACCGCTGGCCATTGGAATTCGGGGAGAAGTTCCGCAACCCTCTGCTGATAATACAGGGCAGATTGGTTCAGAGCCGCTTGAGCGGTCAAGCTATCGAAAGCAATGTGTCCTGCGTTGTCAACACGTGGCCAGCAACGCCGTCGGCTGGTCGATCGGTCGGCACGTCGTAGAACTCTGTGCGTACCCAACTACTACTGGAAGAGAGCGTAGGGTGAAACGGGAGGATAACAGGGCAAGGGAAGCCCTAGATAGAACCTGTGTGGTTGATTCAGTACATGTACTCAATCGTTTTTTCGCTTTTCATTCCTAGTATCAGTTTCTTATTGACTTTTCAGAATGGCTTCCCAGAAGTAAGTCTAATTCCCTTTTCTGATTCTGTGTCAAGAAACAGAATAGTCGAGATCAATCCCTCCCGAAAACTTGCGCACATTATGCTGCTAGTCCATACTAATAGCCACCCATCCGTACACCCGCTTTCCATAAAAGTATGCAGGAGGGCAATCATTCGCAGGAACAAAAATTCATTATGAACACTCGGTTCTTACAGTGACATTGGGTTGAAATAAAACGCAAATGACTCGAACTTCACGAGCAACATAATTCTTCTCACAGCGGAACCTGTAAGTACGCATAAGTGACCATATCCTCAATCCTCAACCCGTCACATACACCATGCATCGAAAAAGACCTTGGGCAAGGACACGGAGAGGGTGGGGTTGACAGTGGTCTGTATCGCATCACGACCACTCACGCGGCCTCAGGCCACAGCTGGATTACTGTAAAAACGAGTGCATGTACGGAATATTCCTTTTTGTGTCGCTTCAGACCTACCTACTGGGATTGGTTTTTTGGTGTCATACTGTGAACTAGGATTGAGCCAGGTTCCTGCAAAGGTAAATTTCTGCCATTAACAGTACAGGAACAACTTGTTTTCTGTTTAACCTTGGGAATGATCCTTTCTCTGACTCCATGTGCGCAGAAAAGTGCCTCTTAAAGTCAGTTCTCAATTTTCACTCTAAAATTTCGGTGAAAATG